GTCGGGATGGCGAAAGAGACATCCGTGGCCACCTGCCATTCGCTGAGTCTCTTTCTATAGCGGACTGAACGAGGGGCCTGACTGTCCTTATGGTTTTCCGATCCGAGGTGGCTTTTTCGGTGACGTGAGGTGCCTTGTTTTCTGCCACATTCTGGATTGTGCAGAAATCCTTTTTGTGGTTTTTGCGGTATTCTGCGTTCTGGTCAAACAGGCATTTTGTCTGGGTAGCTATGATCGCAATCTCGTGTTTGATGGCCCGCTGTTCGTTGGGAATCCCCGCCTTGTCTGACAGGGGTCTCCTGGATCTTTTGTCCCTGCCCTTCGATGGCTTCCATTTCTTCGGTACCATGTCTCTTATGGGGTCTTTGTGGGTCAGATCCTCTGCATTGGCTTCTGCTTCGGACCCCGAAGAGTCCCTTTCCCTCTTCTTTTCATTGTATCAGAAGGCACTGAACTCGGACATCTCGCTGTGTTGTCTCAGGATGGTGTAGGAGTTGGGGGCGGTGCTGATTCCAGCTACCGCCGTGTTGCTGTTGTGTCCTGTCTTTTCTTGATGCTTCAAGCACGCTACCCTGATGTCGAATTCTTTTTCCCTCTCATTTTTGGCCCTTTCTAGGTAGTCTTGCAGCCAGGCCAAGGGGGAATCCTCCTGTTCATTTGATTTGGGAGGTATGTCGGTTTTGGTGGGGGATATATCCATGCTTGCCTGCTCTGTCCCAGCCTTCACTGCCTGTGTGTCGCGTGAGTCCGGGGGTGGATTTGCTTCGTCTGACGTGGCGCATTTTCTGGATTTCTTTTCGCTTGGTCTTGCGTCGGTGTCTTTCTGGGGGGAAGTCTTTGGGGAAAGTTGTCTCTTGTTGGGGGGTTCAGTCTGCTGCTGCCGTCCCTCCATGATTCCTTTCGCTTCAGCTAGGATTCTTTCCTCCTCTTCCGGTTTGGCTAGAGAGTCTGCGGTTTGCTCTCTAATTGAGTCAAGTATCCACATCAGATCTTCGTGCTTTTTCTCTTCCTTGACAGCACGGGAGTCAATCACCGGGT